GCCATCATCACCATCACCGTCACCATTGTTGGCACCATCGTTGCAACCATCACCACACTGGCACACCCCTCAGACGCTTCGTGGCCCCATGTGTCCGCGTCCACTTCGGTGCAGCCGTCACGCGCGTCGTGGCCTCACAGCGAGCTCCACCGACGGCCCCAATGGCTGCCTTTGCATGGCAGCGCCACCGCACTTCGGTGTGACCAATGCGGCCCCAAGCCGGCCCAATAGAGCCCCAAGGCGGCGTCATGGGGCCCCACGACGGCCTCGCGGCACCCCCCAAGACTGCCTCACAGGAGGCCAGGGTAACCCCAAGTGGCCAGAACGAGCTCCAGGAGAGCTGCTCAAATAGTGAAGAGGGGGGGGGAGAGAGAGAGAGAGAGAGATAGACAGACACATCTATATAGAGATAGAGATAAAGAGAGAGAGAGAGAAAGAGAAGCGAGAGAGAGAGAGAGAGAGAGTGCGATAGAGATAAAGAGAGAGAGAGAGAGAGGGAGAGGCAGAGAGAGAGAGGGAGACCGAGAGAGGGGGGAATAGAGAGAGAGAGCGGGGTAGATAGGACGGATGTCACACGCGACGGCCATCCTCGTCGTCATCCTCCTGCTCCTGCTCCTCCTCCACCCTATCATCGTCACCATCATCACCACCAACATCAGCATCATCATCCTCATCATGATCGTCACGACCACCACCATCGTACTCATTCTCATTATGATCAACATCGCCATCCTAATCATCATCCACTTCCTCATCATGGTCATCATCAAGACAATAACCAACGTCACCACCATCATCATCACCGCCATCATCACCGTCAACATCATCAACGCCATCATCATCATAGTCACCATCATCATCATCATCATCATCTTCATCATCATCACCATGAGCATCATCATCATCATGACCAATAGTAACAACATCATCACCACCACGACAACACATCAACATCACCGTTACAATCACCAGTACCATCACGATCATCATCAACACCATGACAGTCATCACCACCACCATCACCATCACCATCACCACCATCATCATCAACGACATCATCATCACCATCACCATCATCACCATCATCATCAACAACATCAATATCATCATCGTCAACATCGTCATCGTCCTCATCCTCATCCTGATCCTCATCATCTCTATCCCCATCATCAACATCATCCTCATCACGGATCTCCCAATCCTGGAGACACGAAGGGCCACGCGTGACAGCCTCCCGTGCACCCTCGAACCATCGCCACCCAGAATGCTGTTCTGGCACGGTGGCAGGAGTTTCCCCGCAGGCAACTGGATATTGTTTCACGATGCTACAGCATGTGCAGCAACCGCAGGGATGGAGGCCAATTCCTTTCAGGCACTTGCTCTCGCCTGGATCTTTCTTCAACTGTATGGCCCCCACATGGCGGGTTATCTTTAAAACACGGGTCTCGCCTGATACTCCCGTGACCTTCGGATCTTAAATCTTACCACCCACCCGCGGCGGGCACCGAGAAGAGACCCCCTTCACACTGCGCACGGTCGAAACAACAACAGGTTGGGTACCGAGGAATTGAGTACTTCTTTCAGGAGGGGCAGGTCCAGACGGAGCAAGCCCAGACGGAGACCGAACGCTCCGTATGTGCCTACTGCTTGTGGCCTTAGAACCCGATCCGAAGCGGCTGAGTCCAGACGGAGCAAGCCCAGGCGGAGACCCACCACTCCGTTGGGACTCACTCCACATGGAGTTCGCCTCTCCTGAAGACTTTGAGCAGCACGCGCAGGAGGCAAGGCGACCTCTCCAAACATGACCGTTGCTGCCGCCGTCCAATGGCCAACCTGCGCCTCACGACTCCCCCGCGGCACGCCTGCGCCCCGCGCCCCCCGCGACTCGCGAGCGTTTCGCTCTCATCCGCAAGGCAAGTGTGGGGCCTGTGTGATGACTCTGTTGGCGCAACACGATGCGCCCCGAGATCGCCACGAAGAAATCCCAGAGCCCCCCGAGAGACCAGATGCTCCAGAGAAGTCCCCAGGAGGCCCCGACCACGCGTCGAATCGCCCCACAAGGGCCCCTCCCCCTCACACCTGGACTCCCAGAAGCCTCCGAGATGCCTCTGGCCAAAGACCCAGGCACGGAGGCGGGACGGGCCACAGATGACCATGTCCTTTCTCTTTGGCGCGACGCGATGTAAGAGCGAGGCACCGGCAGCCAAGGCCGGCCGCCGAGGGAGGCAGTGTGGGTCTCCCAGGGGCCCCTTTTCGCAAACATCTCGGTCGAGCACCTCGCGCTCGATGCGATGCCTCGCCACGCCTCCGCCGAGTACCATCGCCTTGACGCCTTGACGCACGCGCGCGGCCTTCACGTGCTGCACTCGCTCGCTGGCTCGTGCGCCGTCGCCGCCCTCCGCTTCGGAAAGAGGCCGCCAGAGAGACCGGCCCTGGCCTCCCAGAGCGTGGTGGGCCACTCGCCCTTCTTGCCGATGGTGATCGTGGAGCCGCCCTTGCGAGGCTTCTGCAGGACCTTCCGAAGGGATACAGCGGGCAGCGCGAGAGTCCAGTGCCAATGCAGCACATGCCCAACGACGCATCGATCATGAGTGCCGTGCGGAGAGTGGCGACAAGCATGCGCGTAATGCGCAAAGCTAGAGTGATTCATGATACGGCCAAATCGGCTGGAACAAATGATTACCATGCAATCGAATCCCAAACACAAGATCAAACGGACAACACATGTGTCAAACTGGTCGATGTCGGAGAGAAGCTTGTGGAGGTGGCCTTGTCGAACAAACAAACCTGAAGCATCGGCTCACAATCTAATGTGAGACACATGGCTGCCCTGCACATGCCAAACCGTATATGTTCGAACAACTTGCAACATTGAGGCTAACGGCATTGCTCAGGAGTTACAACAACTCACAACTCAGATGGTCATGGCCGATTCTAGCATTCAAAACCGCACAACAATGACTCAAACCCTTGCGAAGCTGATCGCAGAATCCGTTTTTGATGAGCGAGACAATCCAACGGCATGGGACAAGTACGTGCATGACATATGAATGGGTTTGATCGTCATGCAATGGGGCATGCCAGCCTCGAACGTGTAGTCTCCGTCATCAAGCTTGAGGCAACCTGTCGGTTCAACCGGTCGCTGCCGTAAGGCGGCAGTGTGCTAGCATATTACACTGTTACACGCCGGTCTGAACAAGTAGGTAACACACATGAAGTAGGAAGGCGGATAAAGTATATTGGTTCAGGCCTTCCCCGAGAATAGCAAAGCACAGCAAAAACATAGCGATTCTTGAAGTAGGAAGGAGCTTGGAGTACATTGGGATCTGGAAACCCCGAAATTCCTACCTTCAACTACCGACGGGTGAGCATTGCACGCTTGCGACACTCACGCGCAAACCATCGAGATACAACAGAGAGCCCAAGTGACACCATACAAAATAACATCCAACACTGTGTTTAACTACCCCTGTACATGTCCGTCGGTTTTTCGACAGCAACAACCGCGACTTTCTACGAGCAGTGGCTCCACCCATGTGCACTGTTTCTTAATTCTCGGCCCAGTGGTGAAGATTGCCAACCTCCCAGCTGGTGGGGTGGACCCCACCATGCTGGACCAGGCCGACGGGGAAAAGGAAGAACGGGAGGGAGAGCGCGAGAGAGAGAGAGAGAGAGAGAGCGAGAGCGAGAGAGAGAGCGAGAAAGATACACACATACATATATATAACTATATAACTATTTATGTATGTATGTATGTATGGATGCATGCATGTATGTATGTATATGTATGTATATATATATGCATGTATGTATGTATGTATGTATGTATGTATGTATGTATGTATGTATGTATATATACAAATGAAAAAAACGAAGGGGGGCGAGGCGGGCGGAAGCCGGGGCTCGCCACGGCCGCGCTCCCCGGCCGCTCGGCGGGGGGCGCGGCCTGGCCCGACGGAGGACGGCCTCTGCGGCCCCGGCGGCGGAGCGGCGCGGGCTCGAAGCTCGAAGCAGAAAGGCGGCGGCACGCCCCGCCCGGCAGACAGGGAGCGCCGCGGCCCCGGCGCCACGAGGCCGACGGTGCACGGCCACGGTGTCGCAGAGGCGACGCGGAGGAGATGGGAGGAGGGGCAGGGGTCGGAGGCCGGGCAAGGGCTGCGAGATCCGTGGCTGCTAAGATCGACCTCCGGGAAGTTGTCTTCGCCCTTCCGGGAAGCAGCCCGTGGACTGTTCTCGCGTGCCGCGCCTCATTCCGGGAAGCTGTTTTTTTTTTTCCTTGCGGGAGGGCCGCTGTAGCAGCCACGGTTTTAGCAGCCCTCGCCCGGCTTTCGAAGGGGGGGAGAGAGAGAGAGAGAGAGAGAGAGGATAAGAGCGACCCGATGCGCAGCGCAGCGCAACGCCAGGCAACGTGGAGCAGGCAGGCCCAGGATGGCGCGCGGGGCAGCTCGCAGTGAGCAGGCCCGCGCGCGCGAGACCGTGGCCTGTTCGGAGGGAGCAGGGCGTGCGTCCGCCCCCGGCGAGGAGTGGCAGGGCTGCCCGGAGCACGTGGCCGGCTCTCGGGCCCCTTGGCTCCCCGGTCGCGGAGGCGCCTGCGCTCTGAAGCGAGCTGCGTGATGCAGGGGGGGGGGGGGGCAGGAGGGGGAAGACGAGGCGAAACGGCGAGACTGCGGTTGCGCAGACCAGCGAAGCTTCCCGCCACCAGCACGCGCTCGGATGGCCGCCACCGGATGGCCCCACGGGAGCGGTCCCAGCGGGGGCGGTGCCAGAACAGCACAAGAAACAACACATGGGGGAGAAGTGGCGACGGCGGCAGCGGCAGAGACGAAGAGAAGGGGGAGAGGGAGAGAGACAGAGAGAGATAGACCGAGGGAGGGGATGGGAGGGGAGAACTGAGACGAGCAACAATTACAGGCCGTCCAAGTACTAGTCAGAACCCCCCAACCCACGACACGCGCGGGAAACTTAGCCGCCCGAGTTGGACGGGAAACGGGCTATCTTCAGGATACGACTGAACAGGAACATGCATATGACGAATTTGCGCTACAAATGTATGTACGCCACGGGCTGAGAAGAGGAGAATGAGAGGAGGCGTGGAGGAGCGGAATAGCAGGGACTCAAAGCATGCTGTGCCATGCATGGCGAAATCGGAACAGGACGCGTAACAAACACACACATAGACACACACAGAGACAGACAGACAGTCAGCCAGACCGACAGGCAGACAGACAGACAGACAGACACACACACACAGGCAGACACACACACACAGACACACACACACACCACCCACACACCCCACACACCCCACACACCACACCACACCACACCACACACACAATCCACACCACACACTATACACAGCACACACACACACACCGCACACAATGTACACAACACACAACACGCAAAACACACACACAACACACAACACACACCACACAACACACAACACACACAACACACACACACGTACACCGTGCACCGTTTGAGGGGGGATGGAGGCGACGAGGAGGAGGGACTCGATAGCATGCATTGCTTAACAAGGAGAACACGACGCGCCACGGCACTCATCATGAACTGATCCAGGGAGGAGGGAGGCAGGGCGGGACACTGTACGTACCTGATGTAAACGCAGAGATGCTTGCGCACACTCGCGCACCGCGAGAAGCAATTTCCTGCAGATCGACTGCACTGCGTTACGTTTAAATACGTGTCATGCGCTGTTTTGCCCGGCGCACGTTGCAGTACCCTGCGCTACGTTGAATGGCATTTCCACCACCTTGCATCGCATTGCATCCACAGCGCTGACATTGCAACGCCTGGCGGTACATGGCATTGCATGGCGTCGGTGCAGACAACACGACAACGCAAACACATTACGACATCGCGCTGCACTCCTTCACGGTGCATCACATTCCGCCGTGCCGCGCCATATCACAGACATTGCAAGTCCCATCATTGCCGTGTGTTTCTTTGCGTCCCGCTGGCTTCATAATGCAATGCAACCCTTGCCCGCAATTCCGCACATGACACGCCAAACTTGGCTATATCGAATTGCATGGCGTTGCTGCGGACAACACGCCCACACGACCACACGACATCATGCCTCACTACTTCACGGCACATCACATGACGACGTGACGTGTCGCACCACATGCATTGCACTACCCTTGCTTGCTCTGCGGTTGTTTACGTTTCACTGAACTCATGATGCAATGCAACGCCTGCCCGCAACTCCGCGCGACATGACAATGAACTTGACAGCAGAACATGATTATCGGCTCGTCATTTCGGCAATTATATACATATATGGCTTATCGCCTCTGGAAGTGATCTCCCGCACCCGGACCCCTCAGCGTGGGATCCCACAAAGATCTTTACAAGATTGCAAAAAGGCCCCAGTCGGACTCCAATGAGAGCCAAAGAAGGCTGCTACATGAACCCAACAGGATCCCAATCGAATTCTGATAGAACTCAAGGAGGATGCGTTCATGCTTTCGAGTGCTCAATCACGCACTCTCGCCCTCCTGAACTCCTGCTCTTCCTCCCCGTCCGTTCTCGCTCCTCCCTCCGCTTTCACCCCCTCACCTCCACAGAGCTCGGCGGGAAGTTTGAGCTCCCGAGAGAGAAGGCGCGCAGACGGCGAGGTTGTCCGGAGCGGTGCCGGCACCGCCGCCGGCTGCTGTTCCCACTGCTGCTCCAGAGTTCGACCCCCCTGCAATCGAAATCGATGATAGGATTAGGTCGGGCATGTCCTCCTACAGGCGGATCTTGGACGAACAATAAAGAATAGGCCAAACAAAATCAAACATATTCAAAACTGTAGAAAAATCGTCCCAGACTACTTTTTTTTTCTCTCCCATTTTTGAATATTGCTCGTGTAGAGGGACATGCCCGACTTAATGACAGGGATGGGTAACCTTCTCGAAGGTACCCTTGCATCCTTGCCCCTTCGGTCTATCCTGAACTGCTTACTTTACCACGCATCCTTACTATCAATTTTGACTGTACCCCCACAGCAATGAGCTGAAGACGCGCCGCCGCTTTTGCCCGCCAAGTCCGTAACTAGACTGTCTGCCGCGGTCCGCCCCCCTCCAGCGGGAGCAGCATGAAGCCCAAACCAAAACTCATGGTGGAGCCGTCCGTGGGTCCCCTCACTGGCTCCCTCCCCCAGACCTCCAGTGGGGCGCTTCTTGCAATCCCGACGTCCTGTACTTCGGCATCCGGGAGCCAATGTTCTCGCCCCTGGACAATCAGAAAACCACCTTTAGGTCGGGCATATCCTCCTACAAGCGGGTTTCGGACGAAACGTAAAACATATCCAACAAACTATTCAAACATTGTCAGAACATGATAGACAAATCGCCCCCAGACCATTTCTTTGACGAGACTATTTCTCACCACTCCTCCTGTAGAGGGACAGGACCGACTTGCAGCTGCCTGGGGCGAATTGCGGGCGGCCTCCGCTGGGGGCAGGGGCCGAGCACTTGGGGGGGCCCACGGATCGAACCGAGCCGATCCGCCGGAGGCCTCGGCCACCCGCCCTTCCACCGGGCCTCTCTCCCTGCAGCGCGGTGGCGGGTAGACCAAAGCGCGGGCAGTGGACTCCCAGAGCGCAGGCACCAGCCTGCTCCAGGAGCACACGCGAGCGTGCCGGGAGTTGTTCTGCAGTGTCACCACCGTGCGCACAGCGGAGCAGCGGCCTCTGAGCGAGCAGGTCTGTAAACAGCAGATGCTCTTCACAGGCAAGCTTGTGGGACGCCCCAGCACAGACCCGGTGCGCATGTCTGCGTTTGAACCTGGCAACATTGAGATACGATCGCCATCAAGACCTCGGAAGAGAGGCCGGCCCCGACAGAATTGGGGCAACATGGTGATGAACAATTGTCTGCGTGTGGCCGGCTCCACCGCTCGCCTTGCTGATTACTTCCGCCTGGAGGACGGTGCAGCGCGAGCTTGGGCGTCGGCCGTGCGATCGTGGTACATGTAAGTAGTGCATTTTTCCCATCTCTGCTGGTGCACCGTCTGGTGCAAGGCATCTGACTGACTCAGTATCACCACCGCGCCCACGCGATGATTTCGCTCATTGTTCGTCGCGTGCTGTCACAGTACAATTGTCAGCCTGATGGTCGAAACCTCTCTCCCCAGGGAGTCAGCACAGACGGGAGGTGCGTCGCAAGAACCTGCGGCCGCGGCTGCGAAGAACACATCGTCTGGGCCCCCGTCCACGTGCTTGTAGCGTGGGTCATCCTTGGGTGACGCAGGAACGCAACAGCAACATGATCCGGTCAAACATAACACGAAATGTACAACGCGCGCGCAACACTTGAACCGTCGACGCAAATGCAACGTTGCAAACACACGTATCGCACGCGCAAGGACTGCGAAAGTCTTTATTATAATCAACCATCAATGGTACCGGACTTCGTGTTCTGCTGACTCACACTTTGGCGACGACTCTAACGCCATATGCATCATTCCTAGAAGATCGGGGACCGCTTGAACAACTTGCATGGGAAATGAGCAGATGCACAGCGGCAACAATGAAACCACCAAATAACGTGAGCACTTGAAGCGAGGCGAACAACAAGAGGCGAGACCTTCAGAGCTGTAGCCCTTTTGACATACGCCTCATTGGGTTTTGCAACATCCATCCATCAATTCCTTCATTGTACATGCTGCTGTCTCTGCCTCTGTACATAACCGAACCCTCTGCGAACGCGGCGCAACTTGAACCCCATTATCATACCAAACCTTGGGACCAATCAACCGTCATAAAGTCGGAACTGTCTGGGGCAGGAACGTATGCTACCAGTCTTGGACAACTCGTGCGGGATGCTAGTGGGTTGTGTCCTGGACCTGGACACACAATTGTCACTGGGAATCAACATGCATGCACCTTATCCCTCCGTCTCCAACAGGGGGTTATGAAGAGATGATGGGTAGGGCAGGAAGCTACAGATGGGGGATTACGCAGATAGTGGGGCAGACTCAAACGATGGGCACTGTAACATAAACTTGTGCATGTTTCGAAATGTCTGCAAGGCTTTACTACTATAGCCGACAGAAAAAAAACATATCAACGAACAAAAACTGGACAACCACCTGGACAACCAGGACAACCCCTCAAATATGCATACCGTAAGCGTCCCAGCATGTGAGTGTGGCTGGCGCTCCAGAGGCATCACCACACTCACTTGGGGATGTAGCTGGCGCTGAGGCGAGAGCACCACGCCTAATGATGAAGGATGTCTCTGGCGGAACTGGCTGGACCACCTCGCGCCATGCATCTCCCAGCGCAGAGATGCGGGGACGCTGGTATCTCCGAGCCCAGAATTGCGAGAATGTGTCAAGCCAAACTGGCCAGACCACCTCAGTTCAGGGCTTCTCCAAACCCAGAGTTGCGAGGACGTCTCTGGCGGAATTGGCCAGACCACCCCCGATGTTGGCGGATGTCTATGAGCTCAAGCCCTTTGGCAATAACTAGCTTCTACCGCAACGGGACCTCAGTCAGCACAGCTGTTTGGGGAAGCGCGGTCAAGGAGCGCGTGCGAACGGGAGCGGAAGGGGGATGCGAGGAACGAGGAACGGACAAGAGGGGGCCCGGACAACCCGTTGGACAACCCCACACGGATCGGGACACCCCCCCTTGGACAAGCCTCCCCGGGATTTTTCCATTCGATATAGTAGACATGACCTCCTTCCAACAATCACAGACAGTTTCACTGATCAAACTGGCGCGCGATGGGTAGGCGAGAATGCCACCAGCCAAATTCGCGTGCTTTCGCCATATCGCCCCGCCAGTGACGCTATCCCGAACCGATTCAAAACAAAATACCCGCGTGCAACGATCATCCCGCAAGCGGTAGCTAATTGTCCGCCTGGTTTCGCAACAGACTTGAATGTTCGTTATCCTACTGCTGTAAGCAATGCTGCGTCGCGCAACACTGGTCATCGTGGATCTAATTCGGCTTCATCCCAACACCAATCGAAACGGATGCCGCCAATGTCATCGCTATCGCGCCAACGCTTGACGCAAGAAGATCTGGAACTTCTGCGTTGAACCGTCACCCTTGAAGACTCATTAACTATTGTGGATGCCCCCCCTGTGTGGTGTCCATGCATCTGCCCCAACCCTCCTGTGTTGTTACGTCCTCGCTTTGAATCCGCAACACCGCCCCTCCCTCCGTTTCTCCCGCTCTCTCATGTTTCCTCTCTCCTCCTCCCTCCTCCTCCTCCTCCTCCTCCTCCTCCTCCTCCTCCTGCTCATCATCATCGTCATCATCATCATCATCAACATCATCACCGTCACCATCTCCATCACCATCACCATCTCCATCACCATCACCATCACCATCACCATCACCATCACCATCACCATCACCATCACCATCATCACCATCACCATCACCATCATCATCATCATCATCATCATCATCATCATCATCATCATCATCACCATCATCATCATCATCATCATCATCGTCATCGTCATCGTCATCGTCATCGTCATCGTCATCGTCATCGTCATCATCATCATCATCATCATCATGTTTCCTCCCTCTCCTCCTCGTCCTCCTCTTCTTCCTCCTCATCACCATGTTTCCTCCCTCTCCTGCTCCTCCTGCTCCTCCTGCTCCTCCTCCTCCTCCTCCTGCTCCTCCTTCGGCGAACATCTCACCCGGACCGTGCGCCCCCACAAGGATCTTCAACCGGAGGCCCACTTCGGGCACCCGCGCGGCGCCGCCGCGCCTCTCGGTCGCCTTTCGGTCCGCGCCGGCGGCGGACGGCCCATTGCGGCCCGCCGCAGCGGGGCCAGCACCACCGCTGCTGGGGGGCCGAGGCGCCAGCCGGGGGCCGGCAGGGCCGGTGGCAATCTGGGCGGCAGCGCGCAGCTCTCCTCCGCAGCCCGCCCGCCGCGCCGCCGCCCGCGAAGAGACGCGGCGGGGGCCGCCCGCAGCGCCAGGCGCACGCCAAGGGCTCAGAGCGAGAGGCTGGCGGCGCTGCCCGAGGCGCAGCGGCAGGCGGCCAGCGCGGGAGGAGCGCACGAAGGCGCCACGCACGCGGCCGGCAACGGCAGCGCAGCGGCGGCTCCCGCCCGCGACGGGCGGCGGCGCCCAGGTCGCGGGGCCTAGGGACGCCGGGAGCGCAGGTGTCCGCTTCGTGCTCCTGCTGCGATTCGCCTGTGCCCGTGGGGCCTGCCCAAACGACGGAGGTCTATTCCTCCGATGAGCCCTGGTTCCTCCTCCGAGTCGTCTTCATATCATCAGACTTGATTGGGGAGGACACGCGAGAGGGCACAAGACTCTTCCGATGGCAGCGGGGCCCCAGAACACCCAGGGAAGGGCGGGTTGCACAGGGCGGGCTAGACAGGACACAGGGGTACCCTCGATTTGGCATGGCCGCCCTACTAATCAAGCTCGACTGTAGCCGGCGCAACCGCCGCCATCGTCGGCCGCCCGAATTGAAACACGTTCACAACACTTCCCGAACCCCTCCTGGGATCTGTCCTGGCCACTTCCTCGAGCTGCTTCCAGCCTTGGCGTTATGCAGAACGAGGTCGTCGCAGTACCCTTGGGTCCGACGTCGATCAAGCATCCTTGCGAGACCCAGCCCTATGCGGGTGCGAGAGCCGCAAGGCAGGTGGGACGAAAGAGGGGAAGCTCCGTACGTATGGGGCCACGAAGCGTATGAAGGGTGTACCGAAAGTATTCGTGGCGGCGGCATGCGAGCCCTCCCGCTGGGGCCTTCCGTGGAGGAGCTCACTACGGGGTCACGGAACATGTGAGGGGCGTGTCGAATGGGCGCGGCGGAGCTCCCTGTGTTGCAGCGAAACGTGTGAGGAGCGTGTCGACATAAGTGCGGCGGTGGCATGCGGGCCCTCCCTCTCGGGCCTTCGGTGGGACTCCCTACGGAACCACGAAACGTGTGAAGGGTGTACCGACATGGGTGCGGCGGTGGCATGCGGGCCCTCTCACTGGGTCTCCGGTGGAGCTCCCTGCGGTCCCGCGAAACGTGTGAGGTGTGTACCGAACATATGCGCGGCCGGCGGCATGCGGGCCCTCCAACAAGGGCCTTCAGTGGAGCTCCCTACTGGATCACGGAACGTGTGAGGGGGGTGCCGACATGGCCGCGGCAATGGCATGTGGGCCCTCCTGCTGGGGCCTTCGGTTGAGCTCTCTACGGAACCACGAAACGCGTGAGGGGTGTATCGACGTGGGTGCGGTGGTTGCATGAGGGCCCTCCCACAAGGGCCTTCAGTGGATCTTCCTGCGGGGCCACGAACCGTGTCAGTGGTGTGCCGAAATGAGAAGCGGGAGCTCATGCGGTCACCGCTGTCACCGCCTCTGGAGCTTTCGGTGGAGCTCTCCATGAAGCCACGAAACGTGTCAGGGGAGAGCAAGGATATGTTGATGATTCTGAAACTGATGATGCTGATGCTGCTGATGCTGCTGAAGATGAGGACGGTGATGATGATGGTAATGATGATACTGATGATGGTGATGATGCTGATGATGTTGATTGATGTTGTTGATGGTGATGAAGATGGTCATGATGATGATGATGATGATGATGATGATGATGATGATGATGATGATGATTGTGATGATTATGATGACGGTGCTGATGCTGGTGATGATGACGGCGATGATGATGGCGATGAAGACATGCGGAAGACAGATATTGAATGGGAGGAGGGAGAAGCGGAAGGAGGAGAAACAGATATGTCGGGGGGCGCTGCGGGTCCAAAACGAAGACCCAACACCACAGCATGCTGGGAAAATACTGGCCTGAAAAGAAATCGTGACCAGACCAGAACCTTACGTAAACGGGATATATCGAGTCGGAGGGCCCGGAGTTCGAAACCAGGTGAAAACTTTTAGCGTCGGCGGCTAGGCAGAGGGTGACTGCGCTGGCGAGAAAGGCATGATCGGGGGTACCGTTGGGCCGAATTGTGCCACCATGCAGGAGGAGGCGAGAGGGAAACCAGGCGAAAACACAGGGTGTGACACGGCATGAAAATTGCGATGCCTGGATCTCAGGGCCGCCGTCGTCGCCGTCGCCGCCGCCGTCGTCACCGTCCTCCGCCGCAGAGCGACTCCGCCCCCCCGGGCGTGGCTGGGCGCCTCGCGCGCCCGGGAGCCCTCCCTGGAGCGCGCTTCCTCCTTGCGGAGGCCGGCGTCCTCCTGGTGGGGCAATGAGGGCAAAGATGTCTCAAGCTGTGATATGTTGCACACTTTTTCCCCCGCCTGGCTCTGGGAAATGTCCAAAGACATCTCTAGATGCGAGCCTCGGCGGTTGCGGAACGCGAGCAGCGACGGAACGCGTGCGTCTACGCGAGGGCGAAGAGGATTCTTCGGACGTGGGCTGATGTCTGGCCTCAGCTCTCCTTAGAACACTAGCGGCATCGGTCGGGGGAACGACACGACAAACCTAGGATGGCGAGGAGGACGACGGAGGCCCAGTCCTATCCAACACGCTCGAAATCGGCAAGCCGATCAACAAAGAAATCAGCATGTAGTGCCACGATCACACATTGCCAATCGAAACGTGCTGGCGTTAGCGACCCGTCAGATCCATGCCCCCACTCCAGCAGTGAGACGAACCGACGTGGCGCCTCTGCTGGGCCACGACGGCGAAGATCACGAGGAATACGTGGTGGCGGTGGAACCAACATCAGTGCGCGCAAGGCTTGTGTCCATATCCGCTGCAGCCTGGAATTTCGGGCTAGTTTCGGGCTCCCTTCCCCAGAAACCCGAGGCGCACGGGAATATGGATAACAACCTGACCCCTAGAGCGCCTCGGCCTCGGCGCCTCCAGTGCGCCTCGGCCTTGTGTCGCCCCTTTCGAGAAAGTCCAAGACGCCATGGATATGGATACATATGTATATATACATTTTTATATATATATATATGTATGTATGTATGTATGTATGTATGTATGTATGTATGTATGTATGTGTGTATGTATATATGTATGTATGTATGTATGTATGTATGTATGTATATATATATGTATTTATGTATGTACATATCTATACATGCATGTATGCATAACTGTTTATATGACCCACCCCGCGACCCACCCGCGACCCACCTCGCGACCACCCCGCGACCCACCCCGCGACCCACCCCGCGACCCACCCCGCGACCCACCCCCGCGACCTAACCGCGACCCGCCCGACCCACCCGCGACCCACCCGCGACCCGGCCCGCGATCCACCCACATTGCTTTAATGACAAAATCGGCGCCTGCGGCGGGCTCACTGCATAATTGTAAAAGCTAGGCGCCAGCGGCGGGCTTCTTCAGGGCCTCGCAGGACTGACGACGTCCTCGCCGCCCCCTCACTCCTATCCGCAGCTGCGGGGTGCGACGGTATGCATGCATACATCTGTGCATGCATGCATGCATGTATGTACGCGTGCACATCGCCATGTATGCATGTATGCATGCATATATGTATGTATATATATGTGTATATGTAATGTATGTGTGTATATATGTATATATGTATATATATATACATATATATATGTGTGTATGTATGAAATAGGTGTATGTATGCGTGCACATAGCTATATGGGTATGTATGTATATGTGTATGTGTGCATGCATGCATGCATGCATGCATGCATGCATGTATGTATGTATGTATATAGCTTGCCCGCAATCAGGGCGGCCCGTCTCGCTGCCTGAGCGTCCGTGGAGGGGTGCTGCCCTCTCTCTCGGGCGGGGCGCAGGGGCCCGCAGAGAGAGGGGGGGGGGGACGTCTCCGAGGGCGACGCGAGGCACCGCCAGTCGCTGGAGGCGTTTTTGCGCTGGAGAGGCCGCTCCTCGCGTGCTGGCTGCGCAGCCCTGCGCCGTGGAAGAGGCTGCGCTGCTCAGGGATTTCCGCTGCTGTCCCGGCGAAGGAGGCGAACGTCTTCTGATTCGGCGTTTCGACATCGGGCGGAAGGGGGGGGGCCAAAGGGGTCTGGCTCCGGACCTCTGCTCAAGGCGTCTGTTTGGACCCCTGCGCCCTTTGAGGGAGACCCCACATGCTTGAAACAGGCGCCCCAAACAGCCAAGATCTACTCCATGGGAAGGGGGAAGGGGGGGGTGCGAGGGCCCGCGCCGCCGGTCGGCAAAAGTTCCCTTGCTGTCCCGCAGAGGGAGACGAGGGGGAGGCAGGGCCGGCGTAGCCGGACCTGCTCTCGCTCTGGGCACGCTCCAGGGGCGCGGTGACCGCCCCGCGGCGGGCACCACCGTCCCGGCCCCCCTGCGGACCTGCGGGCCACCGCTGGGCCGAGGCGAGTCGGGAGCGGCCAAGAGGGGGGTGTCCAAGAGGGGGGGGTGCAAATCATGACCGGCGGCATGTGCGCGGCCCAGCGGCGGGGCCAGGGACGTAATCAAATAAGAAGAGGCGCCATGAAATCTGGGGAAATATCATGGCCCACGCCATGATATCCACCCCCTCCTAGTCATCACCCCCCTCTTTGCCGCCCCCAAGCGAGAGGGAGGGAGAGAGGAGCGAGGAGAGAGGGAGATTGGGAGACAACTCGTGGGAGGCCTTTGGGCCTAGGGCGGGGAGAGAGGGAGGAGCGATGATGGAAGTGGGGATGGAGGCCACTGCTGGGGTGTCTGCGTGGGAACGATTCAAGACTGCTGAGCCCCATTCGTGGCCATTAAGCTCGAGGGAACCCGACCAAGCACAAATCTTGAACCGACCCGACCCTAGGCTGATGCACTGGATCGCGCTGGATCAGACCCAGAGAAATACCACCGACGATGCTGAAACCCACCAGCCCTCTGGGCGCAGGTGGTCTAGAGCGGTTTCTCGTCCAACCCCTCACTCTTTTCCTGGGGGAGGGGTTTACATCTTCCCCTACCAACTCCCCAGGACCTGGAGGGGGGTTTCGCAAGCGGTCAGAGCATCTAAGATGGCCCAAGATGGCTCTAGGACGGCCTTAGAGAAGCAACTCGCCTGGGCGTCGTTTCTGGATGTGCGAAGCGTCAGGAATTACACGTCCAGGGAGGAGGGAGCGCATGGGACGAGTAAACTAGCTCCTGAAAGATGACTATTGCAAACCATGGCCCCATGCTTATGTAATAGTGCATGCAAACAACATTGCGTCAATACGAGGTCGCTGACCTTAGACTGGTATTGATATTGCTAAGTGCTAGCGTAACCTCATGAGTCACATGCCAGGCTCCTCAGCACAGCGGTCTGCGCATTTGACGAGACCAAGCCATTCATCTTCGCCTTTCAAGCGAGAGACAGACAACGGTCGGAGGTCTGCCATTCAAGAGCCAGATCTGACGCACAACATGTTGCCCAAATGGCGTTGACATTGTTCGACCTCATTCAAATTGCCAAGCATATGCTTGCATAGACGCTTGAGTGCTATGAGGCATCTCTCGATGTTTGACACTGACAATGTCTGCGGTATTGCACACTTATTGAACTGCGGAACTCAATCAAACACAATACGTATGACTGCTCCCCATACGCGCACATAGTCGCAACATTATGCATGCATGTGGATGTAACCCTTACACGGGCCATGCTTGAGCCTCTGCCGGGGTCACTTCGTCTGACCGCGTCCTCCCTGACTTGAAGGCATCGTCAAGCACGCGCAGCAACGCTGTTAGCAGTGAGGTCGAGCGCGGCGAGGCGCAGACGGGTGTTGCGCAGTGCTGGGATGAACAACCGTAGTCATCAGAAGGTGACTGTGCTTTCGATCGCGACTTGATAGGGGAGGGGATGGGGAGAGGGATTACGATGACTGTGTCCATGATGAATAGGAGGGTGCGCCTCCTTGTGTGCTTCCCCATTGCCCATTCCCCTCCGACCGCACTCCCTGCCCCAACTCTTTTCCAAGAAGGTCCCCTGATCGAGCTCCTGGATGACAATCCCAATAAGCTATAGTCTCGCAGGGTTGCTGGAAAATCTCTAATGCCGACCGCAGGCCAGCGATCTCCATGTCAAAAGCTGATATCGCCTGCGTCTCAAAACGATACAGGTATCCAAACATGACGCGTTGTGGGTGCTCTGCCCGGTCCCAACTCCCTCCCCTTTCCCCCACGCCCTCCCCATTCTCTTCGTCGCCGCCCTCGTCGTCGTTCTCTTACTCATCCTCCTCATCCTCCTTGTCCGTCCTCGTCCCCTCTCCACCCCAGACCACTGACGTCGCGTTTTTGTTCACAACGTTGACCCCCAGAGATCTGAATCCCTTCCCCAGGACTGGTTTTTCAGCATGCGTAGTTTTTTGGAGGTCCCGAGGCCTGGTATGGGCTCCAGGAGGTCGGAAGTAGAGAAAGACCTCACATCGTGCTTTTGTTTCACAACGCGAGGAGGTCTGGGACCACACCCCCCGCCTCCGCCCTCCCCTT